CCCCCCCCCCCCCCGCCGACTATTTACACCCAGAGAAACAAAAGCATTAGCGAAGTCTAAAGTTCATCAATGATCGCGGGTGTGGCTCACCAACAATGGGTGGTCATCCTCACTGATCTCAAAAATGTGGCAGACTGTCATGAATAGCTGGTCCAATTTTAAGTTTGCATTATAACGACTACAATCTAAACAATTGTATGTGTATGTATGTGTGTTTTCACGATGGATCACATGTAAACATAGAAATGAACTAATTATGGATTTAAATATGTGTGAAGTGAAACCAGGATTATTCATAATAAGCTTGTAGACAGTCTGGTTTTAAATATTTATTTAATGCGAACTTTCGACTGCCAGTCTGCAGTCTTACAGTGCTTGTATTAAATAAATATTTAAAACCAGAGAACGTCTCCAAACTTATTATAATTACGGATTCTTAAATCTAAATCTACAGGCTGTAAATGGCATTGAATCTCAGCATGGCTTGGTCGAGCAGATTGCTCATGAAAACAACAGTGATAAGGTATGCTACCTATGTGTTATGTTCTTTACATTGGAGGAATAATATTAGAAAATTCAAAAAAATAAAATTGCATCACACATTTTTATCACCTATTTTAATGTTTTCCCCTCTTAAGGATTTTGGATTTTGAACAATTTTTAATTTATCACTATTTAGATTTCCAGTTTAAATGGAAGTCGGAATATGGTGCTACTCTAGCATGGATGAGGGGTGTTGCCTCTCCTTCGCCCTTTTGAGATCGGTGATCGCCTGTATCTGAGGTTCAAGAAAATCTTCACGTCAGATAAGAAGTAAGGACATAGAACCAGGCTTTTCGGAAAGCCAGCTATGCCACCATTGACGCTAGAACTGATACTTAAGCATGGTGATTTTTAATAAAAACAAAAATTACTTAATATTATAATTGACAAGCTTTTTTTAAGAACAGCTAGTTTAATTATTTTATCATGTAACATATAGAACGTAATATTTTTAAACAGCATATTGCAAAGTATTTCTTAATAAAGCATAATTATTATTATTAAAAAATTTAGATTTCCAGTCGTGCTGACACTCAAAGTTCTACAAATGCCGGTAAAATGACAGTTTAGACGTTCACCAAGCAAAATTATCAATAATACCATTAATATTCGGAACCTGACCATGATATTAAGACTACGTTTACACTACAGGGTGTATAAAAAAAACTGAACAGATTTGAAATTGCTCTCAATTTTGCAAAACACCTATTTGTATCTGTTTTTTATATATATAGCTTCTTTGGGTACTTATAATGTAAAATGATGGAAAAAAAATTCTCAAACTCAAATTTTGTGAACCAGGGGGGGGTGTCTTTTCCAACAAACTAAAAATGGCTCACACACAAAATTTAAAAGCTGTAATCATATTTTGAGTTAATAGATTGAAAATTGGTCGGGTTTTTAATTACTATACAAAATGTCAGACAATTTGGTTTAGTTTAAGCCCTTTAACTATTCATTTTGTTCTAAAAAGTCAGCCTTTCGCATGCATGCAAATTAGGCAAATGCATTAATTAAGCATGCAAATAGCTGATTTTTCGGGAATATTGTAACTTTGCGTGAATAGTTAAGGGGCTTAAACTAAACCAAATTGTCTGAAATTTTGTACAGTAATTAAAATCCCGACAAATTTTTCATCTGTTAACTCAAAATATGATTGCAGCTTTTAAATTTTGTGCGCGAGCCATTTTTAGTTTGTTGGAAAAGACACACACCCCTGGTTCACAAAATTTGAGTTCGAGAAATTTTTCTCATTCTACATTATAAGTACCCAAAGAGGCTATATATATAAAAAACCGGATACAAATTGCTGTTTTGCGAAATTGAGAGCAATTTTAAATCTGTTCAGTTTTTTTTATACACCTTGTAGAGCAAAAGTTTCCAGATTTGTAAAAGTATCCAGATTCCTTGTTTTTCAAGTATACGGATCTGCGAGGCGTTTACACTACACAGCGATGGTCAATATAACATAAATAATTTTAACCCTCTTTTGTGATATTATGTGATGTTTTGACGCTGTTTGGCAGTTGAATTTAATAGCAATACATTTGAAAAACATACACCGGAACAAATTGATTCAGATTCTTTACGGAAAGCTGTTTACACAAGAGTTTTCTCCGGATTCAAATGTTCCTGGATACGAATATTTGGGGAAATTTGGATCATTGTCTTAAACTCTATTTATATAGTACGCCTGATAAGAGGCACTGAAACTGTTGTATTAGGGTTAGTAATGCCGGACTTCAAGCAAGTGCACAGGTATCGACTGACCACTAGCTGGAAAGCCGTATGCATTACAACCCTTTTTGATAAAAACTTGGAATGCTGGCATGATTATCCTTCTGGTGAAGGAATCATTGAGGTGCTTGGCTCGATGACAGGCTGGAGTATTTTACCGAAGATAAAGGTAAGAAAATCATAGTCATATAAATTGAGCATCAGACGATTTTTATAAAACATGGCATAAAATTGAAAATTGTTGAAACCAAATATTCTAGTCTTGAATAGTCATTGCGGTTAAAAATTTTCTGGATTTAGTGTACCGATTACTTTTATTTCTGCTTTATGTTTCTTGATAGAAAGGACAAACCAAGGAGAAGTTAAAATCCAAGGAAATCAAAAGGATGTTATTGGAAAGGGCTTAGTCACCAAGTCAAAAGGTATAGCCTATATGGCAATGTTTTCAAGCATGCAGTTTTGTGCTAACTCGACTCTCGAGATCAGGATTAAACCACACAGGCGTTTTGCTTGGCACATATTTAGGATATCTTATAATTTTGTGCTGTAGATTTTCTAACAATTTTTGAACCTTATAATACACTCCTTCTTACAGTACCCAGTGTTTAATATAAACAATCAATATGTTTTTTATAAAATCAATAGCATATAAACAGTCTATAAACAGGTTTAGAATGAATAAAATCGACATTCATTCATTCAATGTCCATTTGAGTATTTGGCAATTTGGCTAGTGTCCAAATGTGTATTATACTTTGCCGAAAGACATCAAAGGCGCTACGACCTAAACATGCAGTCGTTCTCGAGACCTCTGTTGACATTAACAAGTAAATCAATGCAAGGTTTATACTGTTTCCAAATAACAACAATTTAGTGACATACTGTATAGGATTATAAATATGTGAAGCAAAGGTATAGCAGACAGATACGTGTGAAATGAAGTGCCTTTACTGTATTAAAGTGTGCCTAACCCCAAGAGAACGTATACGATCGTATGTTCTTATTGCAAGATTTCCTGACTTGTTGCTATAAAAATGTGTTTAGCATGTATTAGTTTTATAAGTTAACAGCAAACAGAAATCAAATTTAGCAAGTATTTTGATGTGCATACGTGTTGTCACCCCTCGTGATTGAAGTGTTAAGTGCGGAAGTGGAAGCATGTAATATGATACTTTTCCCACACACCCTTAGGCAATTAATTTTCTGTGAGCCATGTGACCAGCTCCAACCAGGCTCTTTCCTTCCCCAAAGAAAGAGCCTGGAAACAAGGTTGATAGAGGCTAACATCATCCTACTAGCGATGGCCTGACAAACCTAAAATGATTCCAGCTAAGCTTATACAATCCGTAATATTCATCTTTTGTAAGGCAGTGATATATTGAGGCAGTGATATATTGAAAAATTGCAAAACCATGCCATGTGAGATAATTGATCTATTGACTTGTGTTTTATAGACAATGAACGAGAATGTCTGGTAAGAGAATGTCTGGTAAGTTGAGAGTGCAAAAATGTAATGATGAAAGTGATGCAAAAATCAGAGTTGCAAAAAAGCTGTGGGCATGCAAGCATAACCTGCAAGGAAGGTTTTAACATACACGAGGTCAGTGAGGAAGGTTTAGTGGTTCACAGTCGCTAATACCAAAAAAGTAAAACAAATCATAGTTGACAAGTTGTGGTGGTACTATTGTGATATAGTACCTATAACATATGACTATGACATTAGAGAATACAGAGAACACAATAACTGAAAATATTCTGTAACATTAAAATGTACAAGTGTCATGCATCAGAGGTGCCTTAAACCATTGCACCGCAAATAACAGGAGGCTATTACTAAGAGTATTGATCATGGTTACAACACAAAATTCACTTGAACATCATTTTATTCAAAGATTATTGAATACATGATTCCAATGTTTTAGAGAACAATTAAAAGTTATAAATTAAATTAACCATCATTGCTGTAGCAGCTAAATGTTGTAATAATTATATAAAAATGGCCAAGGTGAAATGTTGTAACTGCCACAAAAATGCTTGTGATGTTACTCTGAGTATATATCCACACCGGGCAAGCCTGAAAAATATGCCTGGCCACGGTGGGAATTGAACCTATGACCTTTGGAATACTAGCTCAATGCTCTTCCAACTGAACTACGTGGTCAGGTCAGTTCAGTTGGCAGAGCATTGCGTTTGCTTCCCACCGTGGCCAGGCATATTTTTCAGGCCTACCCGGTGTGGATATACACTCAAGTAACATCACAAGCATCCTATTCAGCTGAGTACATTGCACCAACACAACAAATATCATGCCACAAAAATTATAAATAAAAGTGAGGAAGAAATTTTGGTATGTGTGATGTGACTCTGACAAAAATAATACAGCTTGGTTACTGAGGTGTGTAGCTGTCATACATATTTAATACTGATGGACAAAATGCATCGAGGTCCTATAATCGAAATCATTGTTTACATACCTGATACCTACACCGTCAATTCCCACAAACTGTCAGATAACCAAAGTATATGGCAGGATTGGCAGCATCTGTTATATAGATTATATTGCCACTGATTTTCAACCATTCCAAACATTGCCATTGATTATAAACCTCCATGCTGGGCACTATACTGCATTGTTTAAATTTAGCACTTTGCTTCTGAAACAAGTGAGAGCATTTGCTGCCTTGCTGACTGCGAAATTGGGCGATTGGATCGCATGTCTAAAGACCTAAACACTCTCAAATGCCTTTCAAAACCACAAGTACAGAAACATCAAATACCACCTCTGGAATGTTGTTGCCATGGTTTTACTGCTGACCTCTATATAACCCATACGAAAAAATCCTATAGGAATTCCTATAGGAATTCTAATTTCACGGTGGGCAAAAAAGACAGCAAATTTGGCCACGTACATATAACTTTCTGTCGTTAGTTTGGAATATCACAAAACTCCCTCACCTGATAGAACTTAATATTCCCAAAAATCGTATGTTTTTTGTTTTTCGATTTTGTTACATGTTGGCGGGAAAATGACGTGCCAACTTTGGCGCCAAAAAATTAAACACGAGCTAAGAACGTGCTAGTAAATCTTTTGGAAAGATTGTCCTATAAGGATCTCAAAACTGTAAAAAACATTAAAAATACAACAAGGCTGTGCGAAGATATGGCAATTCAAAGTTCTATTTTTACTGAAAAATCAACCATTTTTTTACTAAAAATAGATTTTTTTCAAACTTTGAATCGCCATATCTTCGCACTGCCTTGTTGTACTTTTAATGTTTTTACAGTTTTGAGATCCTTATAGGACAATCTCTTCAAAAAAGTTACTAGCATGTTCTTAGCTCGTGTTTAATTTTTTGGCACCAAAGTCGGAACGTCATTTTCCCGCCAAAATGTAACAAAATCGAAAAACAAAAAACATACGATTTTTAGGAATGTTAAGTTCTATCCTGTGAGGGAGTGTCGTGATATTCCAAACTAACGGCAGAAAGTTATATGTACGTGGCCAAATTTGCTGTCTTTTTTGCCCACCGTGTATGATAGTTCCTATAGGAAATCCTATTGGAAATCCTATAGGAATTCAATTTCCTATAGGATTCAACAGAAATTCCTACAGGATTCAATAGGAATTCCTATAAGATTCAATAGAAATCCTATAGGATTCAATAGGAATTCCTATAAGATTCAATAGAAATTCCTACAGGCTTTAATAGGAATTCCTGTGTAATCCTAGAGAAACTGCTATTGAATCCTATAGGAACTTCTATTGAATCCTATAGGAATTCCTATTGAACCCTATAGGGATTTCTATTGAATCCTATAGGAGGGGGACATGGGAGAGTACGGTATTGCGGTTTCAGGCAATTTTCAGTGTGGTATTTCGGTAATTCTGCTCGAAAGGTGCGGTAATATCTATTCATGCGGAACACGGTTTTTCTCCATTTTCGGTGACAGAATTAGGTGAATATTATGTGATTTAGCGGTATTAATAACATGCATATAATAAAAGCGATGACTTTTTTTATCCTTTTTTACCGTGTTTCAAATTACACATACTGCAACGTGTCCAATGTGGCAATGTCTTTAAAGGGGGGGATAAGTCGTTTCTGAACATGCGCGAGATGTTTGTTTATAGGGGACTCCACCGAAAGCGGATATTGCTCGTTCCAATCTACTTAGTGGTCGGCGCGCGAGAAATTGTTATTCACAAACATGGCGGAGAGCACTCCTTCGACGTCTAGTGTGTCGAATATTGATTCGTCGAGTACAAGTTTGAGAAAGGAAAAAAGAAAGGCATATTTAGCAAGCAGAGATGCTTCAAAGGTTTATTTATTTGATGTCTTTGAACGTTGGAGGGCATTTAAAGAAAGCAAAAATATCAAGAGTGACAAGGATGTTGCTGAAATGTTACTTAAATCCTATCAAGCACAGCAGGATCGATTATGGTGAGATTATACACAAATATAAGCATATTTCTTTTTATACAATGTGTTTTATTTCATTTCATATTGTCTCGCATCTAAAGTTTATATATTTTGTTGATAGTGTGAGTGTGGAGGCCCAAACAAGCCAAACTGAACCAGAGTTTATTCAAGATGAATTGCCCATTGTTCAACCAGCGACGCCAACAACACCTAGAAGACGCGCACGAATATTTAGACAAAGAGAATCTACCCTGGACAATTTTCCTTCGCCGTGTAAGTGTTTAATAACAACAGTATGCATATCAAACAGTGCATCAATTACAAGTTTATTATGTTGCATGGCGTGTATTATTTTAAAAAATATATAATTGTTTTCATTCATATTTCATAGTGTTTACCTCTACACCTCTTGGCCATGCCGAAGCCCTGCCAGCGACGCCAACAACACCAAGAAGAAGCGCACAAATATTTAGACAAAGAGAATCTACCCTGGACAATTTTCCTTCGCCATGTAGGTGTTTAATAACAGCAGTATGCATATCAAACAGTGCATCAATTACAAGTTTAAAATGTTGCGTGGCGTGTATTATTTTAAAAAATATATACGGTAATTGTTTTCATTCATATTTCATAGTGTTTACCTCTACACCTCTTAGCCATGCTGAAGCCCTGAATTCCCCAGAAATACAGATGAGCCCTGCCAGTAAGTTAACTGTTGTTTTAATCAGTGCACAAAGTCATACAAAGTTAAAGATATTTTATTATGATATGTTTGGTAAACGTTTGATGAAATTATAACATAAAAAGCAACACTTGACTGTCTTATATGCTGTATAGTGATACATCCCCCCCTATGGCCTATTATCTCTTGACTCTACTTTATCGAGTAGACTTACATCAACCAGTAGAAGTCTTGTGTGCTCATAGTGAAGCAACCCCCAATTAATGGGTACCTCAAGAACCCATGTATATTTTTTATATTAGGCAATCAACCTACACATTCTGCTCATTGTGCAAATCCAATATTTCCAAAAATTATAAACATAAAGGCCTTGACCCTTGTGATAAATTGTTGTTGATTCAATCTAAATTTTATAAATCTACAATTCTACATTTTTAAATTTTTTCTGTCAACTTTCTCATGTAGTTACCAGTTCAACTCCACCAATTTTATATTCTCGAAGTCGACGAAGCCTACTACCTGACAGTTCACCATTGTCTGCTATCAGTGCTACAATATCTAAGAGGTTTGTAGTCTTGTTAACAATGACAAAAAAGGTCAATACATGAAAAGTGTGGTATATTTTTCATGTGTTATTTGTTTCTAAATTAAATACAGAAATCCTTTAGAAGAGGAAACGCTATCTGGTAACGAGGATGACTCAGATAGTGAATATGATGATAACACAACTCTGACTGCATCAACCATCATGCCCATGGATGAAAGTGTTGAGTATGTTGCTATTTTATAACATGTACTGTAAATATGTGGGGATAATCTGTTTCAGGCTAATTACAAACTACAGGGCAAATATGCCAAGTCTGAGTCTATTTATATCATGTCAAAATGGTCTCAAATCATTATGGTGTGATCTAACCAGTAACCCTTACAAAAATTTCTGCACAGCTTCAGCACTCCAAACTCAAAACATTGTTGCTGGGAAAATGTCCCCGAATTCTAATGAAAGGGTTCATGCATGCCTTGAAACCGTGGAAAGTCCTCATTCCCTGGGCACTTGAAAAGTCCTTGAAAAATCCAAAATCAGATAAAGTGCTTGAGAATTACACAAAAATATAAATGAAGTTAAGTTCTGTAACATCAAAATATGTCAAGACGTTTCGAATAAGTAAATTTGTGCTTTTATGCGGTTGCGATTTTCAAGGATTTCATTACTAATGATTCCCAGTGACAGAAGTGTTGGAAAAAGTTTGAATTCAGTCATTGAAAAGTCATTAATTTTGTACAGTATAGCAGACCCTGTAATGGTCCACCCCTATTATGGCCTTCAATTATAGATTACCGCCACCCTCGGAAGCATCATTCATTGAGGAAGAGGTGTTCAACACAGAAATTGGTGGCCACAATGATGAGGAGTTGGCACAAGATGAAGGAAATGAATCCTCCGTCAAGCGAATAAGTGTGGAGGATGCTATTCATCAAGAAAAGTGTGTTGTTTTTACAGATGCAATCATGTCATTGCTAAAATAATTACATGGGAGCATTTGTAAGCAACAGGGATGTGGTTGTGTGCTGGAATATAGAAAAAGTTATGTTGGTACATGTCTGATTGTATCCTGGAGATGTGCCTCTGGACATAAAGGAGGCAGATGGGGTGCTCAACCCATGTGTGAGAATCTTAGAGCTGGAAATTTATTGCTTGCTTCTGCTTTGTTGTTGTCTGGAAACTCGCATACAAAAGTAGGGTTAATGTTCAGATTCTTTAATGTTCAGATTCTTTAACAGTGTTTTAACACTGTTTACTCAGTAGGAGAGTCTGTACATTGCCCCTGCTGTAAACGAGTTCTGGGAACAACACAAGCAGGAGCTTTGGGAAGAAAAGACTGCACAATATATCATTCTCAGTGGTGATGGTCGGAATGATTCGCCCGGGCATTGTGCGCAATACTCAACGTACAGTTTGGCAGACATGGAAGACAACACTATCCTCCAAATGAACATTGTGGACATCAGAGAAGCTGCTGGAAAGAGCAACAATATGGAGCAAAATGGGTTTGTGAGAGGAATGGATAAGTTGCTGGCTTCTCAGATGTGCATTAAAGAAGTTGTCACTGATTGTTACTACACGAAGTTTTATGACATAGTATAGCCGCTGTGCTCGTTGATCGCGGGAGACTTTTGTTTTGAGAAAAAATATTGCAAACACGTTGTAATTTTAGACAGACTTTTTGTGGCTATTTGTGTATATAAGAGACGGTTTTATTTCGAGAAAACAGGCGATAAAGTGTCAGTTTCAGATCCGGAAACAAGTTTGGTCCTTTCGAGCCGGATCGTTTGACTTTAAGGGAGAAAAATTCGTTTCGAAAATCGTGTTTTTTGCTACTTGATTAATAATTCAAAATAGCGTCGGTTCACAATGTTGAAGAAACATCGAAAGACAGCGTTACAGTGAACGAAGAAGCTAATGGTGGTGAGAATAATGAAGAGAATAATGGACAAGACGAAGAAAATAGTTTGAAAGAAGACAGTGTTAGCCACGAAAGCAAGAAAATTCAAGGATTGTGTAATAACAAGAAATCTGCAAAAATTCGACTGGCAAATGCAAAGAAAAGTTATCCGAGCTTTTTGAAAATAAGTCTGGCGATTGTTTACCAAGTAAAAGTGCTTTGCGTAGAGCAGTAAACAAGGTAAAGACAGAAATGAACATAATTGAGAAAATTATAATTACAATAAAAGAAATTTATTGTGTTAGTGCTGAGGGTAATGGAACATTTATTGAAGCATTGGACAGGGAGCTTGAGGAAATTCAAAATTCGGTTGACGATATGTGTGATGCTGTAGAGAATCATTTACAACAACGCTTAGCCGTCGGTGAACTAGAATCTATAGGGTTTTCAGAAGGATTTTCCAAGGGTAAATCACAGCAT